TAGCCTGAGATGGGGTAGGGATACAGAGAAAGATAAGTCAAGATTCATTATCAGTGCTATGGTAAGGTCAGGTGCTGGGTGTTTTGTGGACAAGCGTGACCCAGCTTTGGAAAACCCAGGGATATCCATGCCTGAAGGAGGATAATCTGAAACTGAGTATGAGAAGCAGCTGGGCTTTCTGCTGGGCAACAATGTGCCAATTGCTATAGCTTCTGAAGCAGTATAGAGAAATCACATTTTCCTGGCAGCTATATTCCTTCATAGGAGGAGAGCCATTTTTGTGGGAAAAATACTTTAATAAGCCACATGGTGAGAAGGCTAAGATCCCTCATGGAGTAGACTTTGAGGACACTAGATGGTTACCATGTCTCTAGAAATCAGCCTGCCATTTGGTGAATGAGATATGTAAGCTGGTGCTGATTGCAGGATTGCTTAGAACTATAGATGGAATTTTATTTTATTTTAATTTTTATTTTATTTTAGAGGAGATTTTAGAGAGGTGTGAGGAAAGATAAAGGGGCAAGATATGGCAACTGACAGGGGAGGAACTTTGTTAGGCAGAGGTGCCTAACAAGAATTTTGCAAAGTGTCTGCTACTAGTGTCTTGCACTCCAGCCTGGGCAACAGAGCAAAACTTTGTCTCAGAAAAAAAAAAAAAAAGCTGTTTAAATCATTCAACACAGTCTGAGAGGCAGGGTACAGGCTCAGTTATATAGCACAGAAATGTGCTATAGAGCCCCTCACCTCTGTCAACTCAAAAAATCCTTGGTCTTGTTAATACCCGAAGTGGGACAGGCTTCAGTGTGCCCTTCAGGTGGTCAGAGGGTGAGAGCAAAGGCTGCCATTTAGAGGCGGTCCTGCCTGGTTACTCATCCTTCATTCTGTAAGGAGCTAAGCACTACTGTGTTCTCAGAACATCTGTGCTAAGCAGGAAACCCCTCTTTTGAACTGTACAGGATATGAAAGTAAACACTATTTATTGCTCTTCTCATACTGACCCACTGGCCTCTGTTAGCCTGTCCATTCGCCTGGGCTCTGTTCGCCTGGGCACATGCACTTACAGAGCTTTTTAAAAAGAGAAAAAGATTATAATAGGATCTTTTAGGTAATCAAGGACATCAAAAAATACATTCAGTTGTGGCCCCTCTCTCAGGCACACCCATGAAAGCATCCCAAGCCATTTATACTTTGGCTTGCAAATAAACTGGCAATTTCTATAATTGAGGGTATCTAAAAAGCATCAAACTTCCCTTCTAAATTCTATTATTCTTGTGGTAATATTAAATTCTGTCTCCAAAGCTGAGTTTAGAAGCATGGATATGTGAGAATGGGATGTTTTCCAGGCCAAGGATGAAAAACCATCATGGGTAAACTACTAGGAAGAATGTCTACACAGATAAAGAGAAGTTGACTAACATTTTGAGTTTTGACTTCCCAATCTCTTTTTTTAAACATTAATAATTTCAGAGAGGAATGTTTAGAAGACATACCGTTGATTATATGCTATACAAAGTGGTGCTATATTTATTATAAAGCAGTGAGCCAATGATAATTTACTGGGATCTGCCAGGCCAATATCCTAATGGCCAAATTTGCAGACATTTGCAGAAGCCCATTCTACTTCCATTATCTCAAAAAGCCTAGCATCCAACTGGGAGCTGTACCGTTTGCTGATATGTGCTATTGGCATGGGAGACTTACTAAGAAATATATAGAAAGTGCCTTTTATAATTGACAATAGTACTTGCCTTTTAAGATGTTAAGCAAACTATACCGTATTTTTCTAAGTTCAGTTTCTTACTTTGGGACACAGAAATGCATCACTATTTAAAATTCACCTATCCAGCAACCTTAACTGTCTGGAACATATATGAGATCCAGGAAGCAAAATAAGTAGGTTTTTGAGCAAAATAGATACAACAAAATCTATTTACCTACAGGATTGGTAGGAAATTCCTTTAGTCATCACTTGGAACCTAGTTATTCTTATTTGAAATCACTTTAATTTTCTAAAATTTAGTTATTGGGTTTTTTAATTCACATCAGATCAAAAGCAACAATAGAGTAGAAGGGGCTAGAAGAAACTCTTGAGTCATCTAGAAAAGAGTCGACTAACAAAAGTGAAAACTATTAGCTGTTAAATTGAATGTAAAGAAAAAGACAGGCTGGGTGCAGTGGCTCACACCTGTAATCCCAGCACTTTGGGAGGCCAAGGCGGGTGGATCACCTGAGGTCAGGAGTTGGAGATCAGCCTGACCAATATGGTGAAAACGCATCTCTACTAAAAATACAAAAATTAACTGGGTGGGCACCTGTAGTCTCAGCTACTCGGGAGTCTGAGACAGGAGAATTGCTTGAATCTGGATGGTGAAGGTTGCAGTGAGCCGAGATCACGCCACTGCACTCTAGTCTGTGCAACAGAGTGAGACTCCATCTCAAAAAATAAAAAAGAAAAAGAAAAAGACATTACAAAGAAAAGGAGGGAGGAGAGATGGGCAAAAGGATGGAGGGAGGGAAGGAGGTTATAAAAAGAAGACTCAGAAGCTAAAAATGCTCAAGTCCCAGGCATTTGATTTTGGTAATAAGCCCTCGATCTGTAGAAGCAGCTCAGCACATCCTATATCACACCATAATTTTTATATTCATAAATGACCCCAGTATTCCATTAAAAGATTCAGTTAAGAAGTCAGAGAACTACCTCATTTTAGAAGTATGTACCCAATTGATTAAGATATAAAAGTTTTCATTCCTGAAAGGGTATATTTTAGATATTTAGACATGTGTGATACTCGAAAAACATGTTTTCATTGTGTGCATTTATGAATGAAAAGAAAGAATAGGCTGAGGATTATTATTGCCTTGCTAATTGAAGATTTCACGATGGAGGTTGTGCCTGTTCTTGACAGTCTCCACATTTCCTTGATTTTGATATCGCAGTTTTTATTCACTTCAGCTACTAGCCCAACCACCTTGTAGACACCTCTCAGTGGGTTTTGTCACCCCTCTGCCCTTGAGTTCAAATTAATGTGCACAAAGAGGTTATTGGAGGAATCAAGAAGGACCTATCCCTTAGTAATATGGAGAACCTATTGATTAATGGAAAGGCGTTGCACAACTCAAGGCCAAGTGCTACTTCTGTGGATCTGTAAATGAGAATAGTGCATTCTATATGACCTTATACAAATATTCAGTCAGTCACCCAAAGGTGTGTGGTTGAACACCTGTGAACATGTATAAAGGTAATAGTGTAGGGGGCTGAATATGTAGACAAAACCAAACTGAGATTATTCTGGGACTTTGATGATGGTATTCCAGATGGGACAATGGCAGTGGGTCAGGTGTTGGAGACTTCCATCTTAATCACCGCTCTTCTAATTGGTTAAATGTAGTAGTTACCATATACACTAGGCTGTACTGGTTGTCTCTCGATTGTCCCTAGATTTGGCCAGCTAAATAAGGCTAGCCATTATAACACCCAGCCTTTAATATCAGAGCATAACAACTAAAGGTTTATTTCTCACCCATGTGACAGTTTGCTGGGGGTCAGCATGAACTCAAGAGCCTTTCATCTATTGGCTGCACTGAGCTTTTAGGACCCTCAAGTCCTCAATTTCATCTTCTTCAGGCCAGTAATACAGGAGAGAGAAATAGAGGAGGGGATATGTAAAAATGTTTAAAGACCAGAACTAGGCTAGAAGTACAGTCATGCATCACTTGACAATGGGGCTACTCTTAGGAAAAAAAATTGCATCCTTAGGTGATCTTGTTGTTGCTCGAACAGCATCAAGTGTACTTACACAAACCTGGATGGGATAGTCTGCTGAACACGTAGGCTGTATGGGGTAGCCCCTTGCTCCTAGGCTACAATCCTCTACACCATTTTACTATAGGCAGTGGTAACACAATGGCAAGTATCGTGTAGCTAAACATAGGAAAGGTACGGTAAAAATACAGTACAAAAGATTAAAAAATGGTACGCCTGAAACCATGAATAAAGCTTGCAGGACTAAAAGTTGCTTTGGGTGAGTCAGTAAATGAGTGGTGAGTGGACGTGAAGGCCTAGGACATTGCTGTACACTACCGTCGACTTTATAGACACTGTACACTTAAGCCACACCAAATTTGTTTTTAAAATTTTTTCTTCAATAATAAATTAACATTAGCTAGCTGCGAACGTTTTAACTTTATAAACTTTTTTTTAACTTTTTTCACTATTTTGTAAGAATACTTGGCTTAAAGCAAACATGTTGTTTGGCTGCACAGAAACATTTTCTTTCTTTATATGCTTATCCTATAAGCTTTTTTCTATTTTTTCTATTTTTTATTTTTGTTTTACTGTTTAAACTTTTTTGTTAAAAACTAAGGCACAAACACTCACATTAGCCCAGGACTCCACTGAGAGTGGATCATCTGTGTCACCATCTTTCACTCCACATCCTGTCCCACTTGAAGGGCTTCAAGGATAATGGCATGCATGGAGCTGTCATCTCATGATAGCCATGCCTTCTGGAATACCTCCTGAAGGACATGCCTGAGGGTATTTTACAGTTAACTTTTTTGATTAAGTAGAAGGAGTACACTGTAAAATAACAATAAAAAGTATAGTATAGAAAATACACAAACCAGTGACATAGTATTATCATTATAAAGTATTATGTGCTACACACAATTGTATGGGCTCTACTTTTATATGACTAGCAGTACAGTAGATTTGTTTATACCAGTGTCACCACAAGCACAGGCTTAATGCATTATGCTATGATGTTAGAATGGCCATGACATCACTAGGCAGTAGGAATTTTTCAGCTTCATTGTTATCTTATAGGACCACTACCATCTATGCGGTCTACAGTTGACAAAGTTTGTCATTCAGTGCATTACTGTATATTATTTCTACCCACTTTCAGAGGCCACCACTTGATCACCTAGCTTGATCTAACTATAGGGGAAGCAATGAAGTAAATTTAACTGTGTGGCCAGAAAAGAAAAGAAAACCAAATTCTGATGGACACCTGATGTTTTCACTATTCCTGTGAATGGATTCCAAGGTTCTAACTGAGATGATAGGGAGATCAGGAATCAGAGTGGGAGAATACATTTAATAACATTCTTGAGAGCTTCTTCTTAGACTTGTCAGTGTTCTCAGTTGTGCTCACCCTCAAGCTCCAAAGATTCTCCCACAGGCATTTTGCCAAGACACTTCATTTTTCCAGGCCTCAGTTTCCCCCTGTATCAAAGTGAGGGGTTGAGTTAGAATACCTTCAAGTCTTTGGGTCCCTTAAAGATCGAAAATCCCGTGATTCCAGAACACCTGATGTTCCCTTCCTCCTGAGACAACTAAGCAGTGCCAGTAGGCCAATAATTTATTTTTTTATTTTAATTTTCCTTCTCGCCTTCCAAGCCTGAGTTTCTAGATATTGAAATATAACAATAGACAAAGCTGTTACTAATACAATAATGACTTTTTATGGCAAAGTAAAGTTATTTTGTGTTTGGATGAATGCCACTTCACACACGTATATAAGATACACAGAGCTCCATGTGTGAAAAGATAATCCTGTTTGAACAGTCTTGCAAAACATATGTTCTCCTCCTACTCTTGCCCTGTATTAGTTTTGCAATTAGTAACAAACAAACAGCAGTGACATCTCCGTGGCTTAGAACATTTACTCTTCACTCACTTTACATAAGGACTGTGAGGCAGCTGCAGGCTGTCTCTGGCTCTGCTAGAATTGGCTGGGTTCAGCCGAGCTCAGCAGGGTTCTACCTGTCTTCTCATTTTAAAACCCAGACTGAGGGTATAGCCACTATCTGTGACATCCTAATGGCATTGGAGAACAAGAGCAAGGAGACCTAAGTCAAACCACCCAATTGCATTTAAGCTTCAGGTTAAACACAGCAAAAAACATCACAACCATTCACGTCCCTTGGGCCACAGCTTTTCACATGGCCAAGTCCGAAGTGATTGAGGTAGGATGTGTACTCCTTCACAGAATGCTTGAGTACAGGGGAGGGATATGTAATCCTTTGGCTGGGAGAAAGCAAATAGTTGGGGACAATAACCCAACAGATCACAACCCCAATGGCTCTATCTAAGTTCTACATACAACATTTCCCACAGAGAGGAAGCCACTCTGCCCTCTCCACTGTATCTTCCTTTCACGCCCTTCTCAGCATGAGCTCGGGCTCTAAAACTTGAGCTTGATAAGAATCATCTAAGTGCTTGTCAAGAATGCCCCTTCCTAGGCCCCTCTTTCCAGAGGTGTTGACACATTTGATCTGAAGTAGGTAGTGGTGCCCAGGCAGGATACCCCAGGAATACCTACTACTGTTGAAGAGCTATCTCTGGTTCCCACAGCCTTTGTCATCAGAGCAGCCTTTGGGTTGGGGGAGCATGCTGAGTGAGCCATTATCAGGAGGAGGACTGCCTTAGAGGACTCAGAAGCTACAACCCCAAGGTCCTCTGATCTGTCCCCACTCCTCACAGCCAACATGGAATTTGTACTTCTGGAGCTCCTTGAAGGTAGGGTCATTACACCTTTGAAAGTGTGATCACGGCCAGGCATGGTGGCTTACACCTGTAGTCCCAGCACTTTGGGAGGTTGAGGTGGGCAGATCACCTGAGGTTGGGAGTTCGAGACCAGCCTGACCAACATGGAGAAACTCCATCTCTACTAAAAATACAAAAAATTAGCCAGGCATGGTGGCACATGTCTGTAATCCCAGCTACTCGGGAGGCTGAAGCAGGAAAATCTCTTGAACCCAGGAGATGGAGGTTGCAGTGAGCTCAGGTTGTGCCATTCCATTCCAGCTGGGCAACAAGAGCAAAACTCTGTCTCAAAAAAAAAAAAAAAAAAAGAGAGAGAGAGAGAAAAGAAAGGGTGATAGTAAGCATAGACCCCAGAGATCAAATCCTGAATTCCTGTTTCTCCATATACAACTCACTAGCTGTGTGACCTTGGACAACTCACAGACCCTTTCTGGGCCTCAGGGCCCTCATCTGTTAGACAGGAATAATAATTATACCCACACCTCAGGCTTGTTGTGAGGGTGAAGTGAGTTAACAAAACAGTGCCTGGCATGCAGTGGATCACGGGGAAACATTTCACATATGATAGTATAAATGTTTTTATATATTTTTAAGTGTATAGGTGTATTCTGTACAAGGATTTGCTGATTTTATTGCCACACAGGTCTGAGAACAGCAGAGGCTTTTGAGATAAAGTTGCCTCCTATTGGAAGTGTTATATGGGGAACATGCTGAGTGAGCTGTTATCAGGAGGAAGGCTGCCTTAGAGGACTCAGAGGACTTACATGTTAGGTGATAGCACATAAGTCAGTGTTTTTCAACCCTGGCTTCAATATAGAATCATCTAGAAAGTTTTTTTTAAATGCCCATATCTTCCATGTTGGCTTCAAATAATTGGCTTCATTAATTAGTGAGAATGTCCAGGGACAGGGCAAAAGAATGAGAAATTTTAAGACTGGGCATGGTGGCTCAATCCCAGCACTTTGGGAAGCCAAGGTGGGCAGATCACTTGAAACCAGGAGTTCAAGACCAGCCTGGCCAACATGGTAAAATCCATCTCTACTGAAAATACAAACATTAGCCAAGCGAGGGGGCGCAGATCTGTAACTTCAGCCCTTCTGGTGGCTGCGTCATGACAGTCACTTGAACCTCAGAGGCAGAGGCTGCAGTGAGCTGAGATCATGTCACTGCACTCCAGCCTGGGTGACAGAACAAGATTCTGAGTCAAAAAGAAAAAAAGAAATTTTAAGACACTCCTTAGACTGTAATGGGAATCCTTGATTAAAAACCAGTGATGTCTATAGAACTGCAAAACATAATGTACAATTTATGAGTGTTTTTTTGATTGTTAGTAACTGATAGATGGTCTCATGAGGGACTAGTTCCTCTGATAATCAGGCCAACATGGATTTTCCACCATCTGTCCCACATGTGCACTGGCCAGGGGGAATTGAAACTCACCCAATTCCTATTCTTGCCTTTCAGCCAAAAAGGCTGCTTAAAAACAAGCCTCCCTGTGATAAAAGGTGTTGCTAGGATGAGGATGCTGTGGTGAGTGAGTGGAGTTAATGTGATTGGAATTGGAAGCAATACCTCCAGCCACGGGGAAGCATGGGTATTCTGCGCTATTAAAGTGACTACAGTGCAAAGGACCGTATATCAGAGTAATTTTCCCTGATTAGGTTAGAAGCCAAGAGACGGTTCTTTATAGTATCCCTGAGTGGCCCGAGGCCTGGCTCCGCTCTGCCTTAGGCAAATGCTATCTCTGCTGATCGTCTGCCTCTTACCAAATGCAGCCATCACCATGCACAGCACACTGCTCCTCTTGATGATCTTCACAGAGCGCAGAGTCTTCAGGAAGTTCTTTCCTCAGTGGAACCTTTGGGGTTTCTAGGAGAGGAGCAGGGGAATATCTGGAATCAGATTTGAACACTTTACGGCAGCCTCTATACTATTTCTAATTACTTTCACCCAGTCATGATGTTCTGACTAAACTGCCAGATTGTAAGGTGATAAACATTTTATATAAAAGTAATTCACTATGGAAAGTTCTGGATGTTTTCACCAATGGGTACCTCAAAACAGGGTATGAGATGGAAACCTTCTCAAGAAACAGCAAAATGTAAACTGGATAATTGTTGTGATAAAAAATAATAATGAATGACCACACGAGCAAGTGTCCTGCTGTGGACCTTCATAGACAAATGTGCAGATATGCCGCCTGGACTGTGGGCAGATGAACATTCATTGTAGGCACATGTATGTGTGAAGCTGGTTATTGGCAGAGCAAGAACAGCTGGAACCTTCATTTCCCCACCTCCCGGCTAGGATTCTCTTGGCACTCTATCTCCAGTTTTCAATGTCTTCCTGCAAAAGCAGCTCCCATATTCTTCTTAAAACTTCTTTAGACTCCCCTGTCAAATACTGAAATCTACACCAGCTGTAAGTCTAGTAATTGAAATACTAGCATGGGCGCAGTCTTTCCAGATGCAAAGTTTGGTCCCATATGTTAGAACCTTGTTCTGTTTTTTTCACCTTTGGGGCTTCATTTATTGATTCTGCAATCATTGACTGTTGACACTGGGCAGAGCTTGTGTAACAGTCTTAATCCTTAGCCTGGTATGTAATAGCTAATCCCTACCATTCCTCTTCCCGCCCTGAGCATATTATGACCTTTGTTTTCCAGATTAAGTGTTGGCATTCTATGCCAACACTTGGATAGAAGACCTCAACTTCTTGCCCGGCACAATGGCTCATACCTGTAATCCCAGCACTTTGGGGGGCCAAGGCAGCTAAATTGCTTGAGCTCGGGAGTTTGAGACAAGCCTGGGCAACACGGCAAACCCCGTCACTATAGAATGTACAAAAATTAGCTGGGTGTTGGTTGGCATGTGCCTGTAGTCCCAACTACTCAGGAGGCTGAGGTGGAAGAATCACCTGAGCCCAGGGATGTCCAGGCTGCAGTGAGCAGTGATCATGCCACTGCACTCCAGCCTGGGCAACAGAACAAGACCCTGTCTCAAAAAATAAAAAAAGCCCAACTCCTGGAAATTAAATGGTACGTGATGTGGGGTTTGCTCCCTGTTATGTTAGCCTCAGGCCATCTAGCCCAGGTAGGACAAGGCAGGTAAGGAAACCCAGGGGGTCAAGGACCCAGAAGGAAGCACCTAACACAATGCCTAATGCTGAAAACAATGAATGAATGTATTCAAAATTTCTTTGCAAGAAATGAGACTTTTTGTTTTTTTAGGACAAAAAAAGGGCACTTAAATTTAATTTAGTTTACTAGGAGATACAGCAGGCAGCATACGGTGGTTATGGGATTTGCAGGGCTTCCCTGCCATTGAGTCTTGATCTGTCTCAGCAAAACCCGAAGTTTGCCAAAACCTGGAAACAACTCAAATGTCAATCAATAGTAGAATGAATAAATGAGTTATGGTATTTCATTCAATATAACATGAATGAAAATGAATGAGATGAAATGAAAATAAATTATGTAAAAGTACATGTAACAACAAGGATGAATCCTACAACAATGTGAAATGAACGAAGCCAGACACACACTCGAAAAATGCATGTTGTATGATCCTATTGATATAAAGTTCAAAGGTAGGTGAAATTAACCTGAGAAGCTGGAAGAATGGTTTCTGTCGGGAAGGAGTAGGTAGAGATTGGGTGGAGGCACAAGTTTCTGGGCTGCTATTGTTGGTTAATTTCTTGAGCTGAGTGGTAATATAGATATATTCTCTTTGAGATACTTCATTGAGCAGAATACTGTCAAAAGTGTCACTTAATGATAGGGGTAAGTTCTGAGAAATGTGTCAGGAGATTTCATTGTTGTGCAAACATTGTAGAGTGTACTTATACAAACCTAGACCGTATAGCCTACCACACACCTAGGCTATATGACATAGCCTATTGCTCCCAGACCACAAACCTATACAGCGGTTACAGAACTGAATACTGTAGGCGATTGTTACAGAATGGTAAGTTTTTGTGTATCTAAGTATATCTAAACATAGAAAAAGAATGGTAAACATACAGCCTTATAATCTTATGGGATCACCATCATATATATGCGGTCTGTCATTAACCGAAATGTCATTATGTGGCGCAGGATGTCATATGTATGATAGTGTGAAATTCAGATGTTGGATTGCGCCCTGATCGATTATCCAGGAACTAAGCTTGCAAGAGCTAAAAAGAACCTCAGAATCCCTGCCTAGCATGGTAGATCCATTTCTGGAGTCAGGGAAATTGAGTCAAAAACCTGAGTAGAAGGTTGGGGCAACAGATACAATACGGCAGGAGAGGATGGGGACTGTACTCAGGGGGGTCACGGGATACCAGTCTTGGGAGTAACTTCCACAGAATGATGGGGCTGAGACTGCTGGCAGGCAGGATTGGCTCAGGGACTGCATTGGCCAGAACATACAGGTGAAGTCTAAGAGCGGGTATTACAGAGGATGAGGGGTTGACAGTGGGGAGTGGGGTGTTGGGAGCTTGGATCTGGTTTATTTTTAACTCTCATGAGGCCACACTGCCTCCTCTGCTATGGTCTTCCCTTCCTAATATGGATAGTACCGTCAGCCCAGGCCACGAGACTGTGACCTCAATTTTTCATGTGGGGAGACTGGCTCTAGTTTCTCAAAAAGACAAGCTGCTGGGCCTTTTTCCCAGCTGTTGGCCTCTGTGGAAGAGACTTGGCTTAATGGAAAGGTAAATGAAGGGAGGCTTTTGGAAAGAGAGAGCCTAAACAGGGTCAGCGCTGACGGCGAGCAACATGAGGGAGAAGGGACTTTTCTAGGAGTTTACACCACAGTTGGCCACAGAATGGTGGGAAGGCGTATTTGAATAAGGTAAGGGGAGAAGCAGAAGGATAAGAGAGTCTTTGAGGATCAGGAAGCAAGGAAGCCAAGGCAGCTAGCCACAGGCAAGGTGTGGGGCTGCAAACTTGCTACAAACCTGATCTGCAGATCCACCACCTGCATTTTTGAACCTCAGTCACAACCAAGGAGCTACTGAGGAGTGAAGCCCAAGATGATAGTCCTTGGGCTATGTGGGGCTGACTTTTTGCTAACTGAACTACAAATGCATGGAGCCATTTGCGGCTCTAATGTCTTAAAAAGGTGAGGACCCTCATTGGATGTTACAGTCCCAACTGGGAGAGAATAGGAAGGGCCATGCCTGCCCATGATCAAGATCTTGAGAGCAATGCAGGATGGACTCAGAGAGACAAAACCTAATTTATCCCCAGCTTAGAGTCTGCCAGCCTTTAAAAAAAAAAAAAAAAAAATGTCCGTCAGTAAACAGGTGTGCCTAGTACTGAGAAGCATCTCCTTGTGTGATCAGAGTTAATTAACATTTAGCATAGCTCCTTTAGGAGTGAGAAGTTGTGATTATCTTTCTCTCTAAAGGTTAAATTACCCCCATTGTGTTTGCCCTTCTGGGAAGAAAAATGCAGGATGAGTCGGGAAATCATTGTTAGGACACCACTGTGAGTATGGCTAATTTTCTGGCATGGAGGTTTTAGGCATTAGAATGTGCATCATAGTAACCAGATTCCAGTATATGTCCCAAGAAATCCCTAAGGGAAGGGTTTTTTTTGTTCATTCATAGAATGCTTCCTGAAGACATTATTACAGGAAAACTTTATTTAGAAGAGTTTCTTTGATCCTGTACTAGCACATGAGAACATCTAAGCAGATACTCCTGCCTGACCACTCTGCTTCCCATCCCAGAGTTTCTTCTGCAAAACACATGGAGCCCTGCTTCAGCAAAGCTCTCCAGATAGCACCCAACCTCACCAGGATGGTCGGATTTATAGCACGTTGATCTTAAGCATGCTAGTGTGATGCCCAAAAGAGAAAGGAAGTTTCAATAAAGGAATATTACAGAAAGTCTTCAGCCAGTGGGTAGAATCCCATCTCCAAGCCAGGCTGAGATCACGAGATCACCAGGATAAAGAACTGTTTTGGGCTATATGAACCTAATGAGTCTGGCTTCATAAGATCAACAGTGTTTGAGGCCCTTGGGCATAAGTAGGTCAATAGCTGAGAAAGCCTCTCTCACCTCTGGCTCTCCTGCTCCTACTCAGAGTGCCACAGCCACTCAAGGCTTGATGTTGCCCACCTTGGGTCTCCCATCACAGACTTCACACAGGATGATCTCTCAGTGGCTCTCAGGTTTCCCAGATGTCTTTCTCTCATAGGCATGTGACTGACAATCTACTAAATCTCTGTACTTCCATTTGCTCATCTGTTAAAACCTGTACCTGCACACAGGGCGGTTGTGATAACAAATGAAATTTACACGATTAAGGTACTTACTTTCCCCAGTGCCTGCCCATAGTTGATGCTCTAGAGGTCATAGGCATTATTTTAAACCCATTAGGAGCCTTTAACCATTTGATTTTAATTAGATGACCCTCACTGGGGAGATGGAGCAGGTGATTTAGAAAGTGCACCATGGGTGGGCATTTGTTTGGAAGGAATTTTGCAGGAGCAGGTAAAAGGTCCAAAAAAAAAAAATCAAAATACAGGTCACCTCACAGGATCCACTGATGGGCCAGGATCCTTTACTGAAGCTGGAGCCTCGGAATAAGAGAGCTACTTGACAGTGCCCGGGTGTCCAATCTTTACTGTGGCTATGGTTTCTCCCTTTCTGAATATGTCCCACAAGGAGCAATAGCAAAGGTTAGTCTTTTAGGGGCTTATCAAACACATTCAGATCTTTCAAATGTCCCAAGATGAGCAGCTTTGACCCTGAATGTTCTTCCCTTGATTAAAAAAAAAAAAAATTAAAGAGAAATTTAAGCCATGCATTTCTAAGAATTTACACTTAGTTCAAATCTATTGTTTTCTGAGTTGTTTGAAGTCCAACAAGACTAATGAGCCATTTTTTCCAAATGTCTTTAGAAATCCTTTTTTCTTAGAAGGACATTTTGAGGCTTTGAAAGTTGTTCCAAGGGTAACAATAATAATATTAATAATATATTGCCCCAAACTCCCAACCCCTGCAGGTTCAAAATTTACTTAATACTCTGAACCCAAGGGATTTAAATTATTACCAGAGTTTATTATCTTTTGTTTATGGGCCTTTCCAAACAGGAGAAAGAAACCACGTGGAGGTTCACTAGAGTTCATTGTGTGATTCGCTTTGCGGTAATGCATATATCCCAGAAGACTTCCAGCTTGAACCTTCAAAGCCTCCCTAACTCGGTGAAATCAACGTGGTTAGGTTGAGATTACACTGAGGTTACTGACTTTTCAGCTTGGAGAATTTTTGGTTGATGGACCAGGGCAAGAGCCCTCATAGAAGGATTCTCTCGTAGAATATACAATCTAAGTTATGTAAGATTAATGCTATATTGTTAGGTGGGTGTGGGGTGGAAAGAGAACAATTTTTCTCTGGGTGTGTGCAAAGGAACTGACTGCCTTTGCTCCCTTGAACTCTCTACCTTGTCATCTGAGGACCTCTGGTGGTGGAATTTTTCCCAGCGTGTGTGAATCGATGTTTCGTGCCAAGCCATCCAACCCTGTTACATTTTCCTACATTCCTTTCCTCCTGTTTTGTCATTCACATTAAGCAAGGAGCAACAATCAGTTGCAAACACCCAGAATAAAGTGGTGGATGTGCCTGACCAGACTGTCATTTCACAAAAGTTACCTGGTGCCTTTCTCTTCCAGTGAACTTCTGATACATTTCCTGTAGCAAGAGAAGGCAGCCAACATGAAGGAAAATGTGGCATCTGCAACTGTTTTCACTCTGCTGCTTTTTCTCAACACTTGCCTCCTGAATGGTAAGTAAGAGACTATCATGCTCTCTTTCATTGCCTGGGGTGTTTGTCAACAGGGTCCACTGCAGTCTTCTTGCAATGCTATTATGAAAAATGAAAATGCTTGTGTTATGTGCTGCTATTAAATTATTTGCAATATTTTTGCATTAAAGTTAATGAGAAAAATTAATGCAGTTAGTGCAAAATCTTGTCGCTGTGCTCTCCGCCTTCTATCCTCATTCCAGGGGTGTAATGAAACAGCTCTGAAGACAGGACCTGAGTTCTAATCCAGGTCCTGCCAGTTTCCAGCTGTGTGAGCTAGAGCCAATTACCTAACTCTCTGGGTTTCCAAATTTTCAAAGTAAGGATAGTGATGTTTCCTGTACCACAGATGAAATAATGTATATGAAAAATCTTTGAAAAACCATGATGGGATATAACAGATTGCTGTTACATGGCGGGAGGCAGGTACAGCCAACTCTATTATCTGTGCTAATAGGAGAAATGAAGTCCACAGCTAAATGAGAGGATGGGTGCCTGTGAATATACACTTCTGTATGTCAACTCTTGTGCATTTCTGGGTGTACAGGCTTCTGTATGTGCCTGTGTAGATATTAACTTTTCCATATGGACCTGTTTACAAATGCTTCTCTGTCTGAACCTGTACGTGTATACTTCTGTGTATGTCTGTGTGTATATATATCCATATGTGTACACTTCTCTGCATGTACCTGTGTGCATACCAGTATGTATTTTCATTAGTATGCACCTGTATGTATTTCTCTGTGTGCGGGGGGGGTGTGGGAGGTGTACTTTTGATGTGGGCCCTGTGTGGGCATCTACATACCTGTGCGTGTGGTACCTGTGTGGTTTTCTCTGTGTTTCTGTGCATTGAGAAAGTCCATGAATTTTAACTTATTTCTCTAATGTAGATGAAAGAAACATTTGTCTAATTGCAATTTTACAAATCTACCCCCTTCTCTTGAGTCTCCTGAAGGTACTATTAATAAACAGTAAAATAAGAAGAGAAGCTTTCAAAGAGAGAAAAAGGGGAAAGCAGAGGTCAGAATGACCTGCAAGAGAAACTCTAAATACTCAGGAAATCAATGATCACCCTGATTGGCTTCTGAGTGCGCTCATTACTGAACCACAGGGTTTGAATGTTTTAAATAAGCTTTTATTTCTACTTCACATGCTTCTCCCCACTCATGACAAAAGCAAAGCAAAACAAAAACTTGCATTCTTGCTGTGACTCCCATCAACAGCTTATCCTGAATAAATTGTCCCTAGAGGATGAACAATGTTACAAATATTGGCAGAGCCGCCCCAGGCTGGCACGGACAAATTTCAGCAGGGCCTGTGAGTGGGAGAGTAGGTGAGCTCGAGCTGATACTACTAGCCTGGTGTCCCGGGCTCCAGCCTGTGTCCCACCACATGCCATTCCACTAAATCTCTCTTTCTGGCCAGCTCTGCCTAGAGACCCCTCTTCCCATCCATTTCCCCCCACTGAGGTCTCCTCCTAACTTGCTGTTTCTGATCTGGTGCTAAGCTAGATACTCTGGTCTTGGAGCCTGCATGAGGTATAGGGGAGAAAACAGACAGAACCCCCAGAGGTGCTGGCCCACCTCTGAAAGTGCTCCTCTCTGTTCCTGACATCCTGAACTCAATGCTAGGGCATCCAGCTATACTAAAAAGAGGACCAGCTGAAGTCATAGAGGTGAGCCTGGTGGCTTCCCCAGCCCCACAGCATCAGGGCAAACTCCAAGGCTCTGCTGTCCCTCTTTGAACCTGACATCTAAGCAAGAGAAATGGGGGCCCACTTGCCAAGAGCTTTGGGCATTTGGCAGCTAAAAATTTTTACATCCTTGGTGTTGTATTTTCACACCACCTCACTGAGACCTTCTGGAGTCCGGCCTGGAACTAGGTACAGCTCTTAGATAATAGTGGTTGCTCGGAACCAGGAGAGGAGCTGGCCACTCTCCTACCCCTTACCATACCTCCTATCCCAAAAAGATCCATCGAATTATAGTTTTATAGAATCTGTGAGATTACAAAAGGACCAAACACTTTTCAAGCCCTATGAATCAGAAAGAAGCCTTTTGCAACCTCACCACAAAAAAAGAAAAGGAAAGAGAAAAAATCTAAGAGAAACAAGGAATAAAAACTAAGATTCAGAAATGGGGATTGGGTGGATGAGAAGATAGATTATAAGTCTGGGTCACAAGATCAAAGCTGAATAACATCAAGAAAAAGTGAAGGGAAAGGAGAAAGAAAGGAGAAGATGGGGAAAGAGGAAGGGAGGGACGCCCAGATACAGGGAGCTTCAGCAATGCAGTAAACAGACAGAAGATCAGGAACAGGTTGAGTTCATTGTGTGGGGATGGCAGAAAGACGGAGATTGGTGAGCAGAGTGGAAAGTGCCAGAGGGTGGTGTTTTGGCAGTGTTTGCAGGTTGCTCATACCTGGGAAGGATTCTTTGTATGATCCCCTTAGAATGAGAGGGTATCAGCTTTACAGACCTCATGGGATTACAAAAGGGCCACACACTCTTCAATCCTTATGTGTCTATCTTGCATTCAAGGTTCACTCTTTGTTGAAATTTTGCAGTTAGTCACTAGTCCTCACGTAGGCTATTGGTATCTCCATCTCAAAGTACACACACACACACACACACACACACACACACACACACACCACAAAGCTCTCTAAGAGCCCTGCCAACATCAGGGTAGCCTACAGAGGAGTGTTGCTGGCTGCTGACGCTTGGCATTTCTGAGCAGCCACCCTAGGTCTCCTCACCCTGAGACTTCATCACTGGCCTGGGTTCCATCAGTCTGCTCCGCCACCAGCAGAAGGATCAAATGGTTAAATGGACCTCAATATTGATGCAGTGGCTTCTGTCTTTTTCTAGGACAGTCACCTCCTGGGAAACCTGAGATCTTTAAATGTCGTTCCCCCAATAAGGAAACATTCACCTGCTGGTGGAGGCCTGCGGCAGATGGAGGACTTCCTACCAATTATTCACTGACTTACCACAGGGAAGGGTAAGAAGTTTTCTTCTCTCCTATCAAACCCCACGTGAGTATTTCCATTCTCCAGGCCAAAGAAACACTGGCTCTGAGTGACAGCACTTCCCTGAATTTACACCTGTAAGGTTCATACCACTGGGGAAAGGGGAGTCTAAGGTCCATGCCCACATTGTCCTGTTAATGTCTGTTAAGAGCTGTGTCAATATACGTAAGGTAACCAGCCATAGTAGTGCAATGTCAGTAATGTTTCAGATCCCTGTCACAGCCTAGGTTGTAGCCTTAGGCCTCATATAAGTGTTTCTTAAGTGCTAGTTAATCTTAGATGCTCATCTATAAACCTTATGCCATTTGTAATTTTTTTTTTTTTACTAAACATGTCACTTTTGCAACATAAGAGGGTCATATGAAGTGGCACCATGTAATCCTTAATAAACATGGTACAAGGTTTTCAAACTTGTTTCATGTTCAAGAAAATAAAGAACCTTGTAGGGAGAAGAAGGTGAGATTTTTCCTTAGGAGATCTCTGATCCAAGAGCCATGATCTCCTGAAGGACATATTTGGACCTAAGGTTGCAATGAGGGCTAAACCAGATTGTCTCTGTGCAAGCATTTTGTTACACTCACAATGAGACCCTCCTGGAAATCCTGGGAGAGCTGTACTCTTCTTCAAAAAGGAAAATATTTAGTTGCTGGTAAAGACAGCTGGCCCACTTTCCGATGCCTGCACTTTGTTGTACACAAAATTGTTATTCCAGCTGAAATCCAAAGGGGCATCATGTAAACAGATTTCAGGAACTCAAATACAACCAGAATTGAATAAGCCTTTATATCTGTGTAGTGTGTCTTGTGCTGAGGCTCATAAGTCTAAATGTGAGCAGCCTACTGAGCCACTTGGACCTGAAATACCTCCTTTCACCATCACTTCACTTTATTGCTGACTTGGTGCAGTCTGAAATGGATCAGCATCAATTTTTGTCCCCTTGGACCCTTTTTTAAAAAATGAAATGTAATTCAACACACATGTGCAAAGCTGCTGCATTGTGCTTTGCACCCCGTGTGTGGACAGGTGAAATTTCCAGTTCCCTGGGGTGACCCCATGGGCGTGACCTGGGTTTGGTGGTGCCCGGGTCGTTGAAAGCGCAAGTGCTTATCAGCAGGGAATATATATCCCAGAGCCCACAAGAACACTTACAGGAGGGAAGGGTTGATAAGAAACAAAATACTTGAGGCCCTAAAATAACTTTTTCAGCATGCTCTTCTTTCTCTCACTCTCAGCTGAAATGGGAGGAACACGGAAGCCTGGGAACCATTCATCAGCTCTGGGTTTTGCGCTTGAAATTTCTGATACCCAAAGGCCAGTGGTATTGATCTATGAAGAAAAAACTAGACTCTCTTTTTCACTTTCTTATTCGTTCCTAATGCATTACTTATTGCAGAGAGACACTCATACATGAATGTCCAGACTACATAACCGGTGGCCCCAACTCCTGCCACTTTGGCAAGCAGTATACCTCCATGTGGAGGACATACGTCATGACAGTCAACGCTACTAATGAGATGGGAAGCACTTTCTCGGATGAACTCTATGTGGACGTGACTTACATAGGTAAGGGGAAGGGAAATGGGTGAGAAATTTGCCACTCCATTATATATTAGCCAATAGTCAGACTCAGCGTGAGTTTTCCTGGGTTTTGGATGAATCCCCCACCCCAAAAAAGGATGAGAAAATTCACAATATGCTTGTCAACTGAGCATTTCAAATCATTTTTTATCAAGTCATCCATGACACTAAGGCTGGGGCTTGGGATCCTTGTGTTCCTGTGCTTTCCCTTGACCCTCATCCTCTTGCGCTCAGCACAAACGTTCTATGTTTGCTTCGCTTGCCAACCCTTCTATCTTGCCCTTCCCTTGTAATCAATGTCCCCTTCTTCCTTAGCAAGCTGAGATTTCTTTTTATTTCTTTTCATGGAAGACAGAGCTGCTCCATGAAGAAGAAGCTCTGAGAAGGGTTCATCTGGTTCTGCATCCACGGCAATTGCTCCCATTGATTTGCCCTAAACTCATACGTGTGTGTGTGTGTGTGTGTGTGTGTGTGTGTGTGTGTGTGTTGATCCACAACATATATATGTTGTATATATGTGAAATGTATACACACACACACACACGTATGAGTTTGGGGCAAAGCAATGGGACCAATTGCCATAGATGCAGATACACACACATACACCCCATTTGTAATTTTTTTACTAAACATGTTACTTTTATAGCATAAGAAGATAATGTGAGGTGGTACCATGTAATCCTTGACAAACATAGTGTTCAAGAAAATAATGTAATGTAAACGTTAAAAATTACCAATGTTCTGTGTGCACACACACAGAGAGAGAGAGAGAGAGAGAGAGAGAGAGAGAGAGAGATTGATTTTCACCCCTGCATCTACTGGTGCTGCCAAGGTTGCAGGAAGGTCATCTCCAAGCTGAATGGGAAGCTCACTGGCATGACCTTCCATGTCCCCACCACAAATGTGTCAGTCATGGACCTGACCTGCTGTCTAGAACAACCTGCCAAATATGATGACATCAAGAGGGTGGTGAAGAAGGGAAGATGTTCTGATTGACTGTTGTACTACAGTTGTGCAGAAGGGCCATTCACAGTCTTCTTTGTAGAGTGATGGCATGGACTGTGGGCATGAGTCCTTCCATGATGGATGATAAATGTTATATAAGTGTGGTGGGTGAGTGTGTGTGTGTGTGTGTGTGTGTGTGTGTGTATTGCCTTACCCTCAAGTGTTATAATATTTGAAGGCAAAACAATAAAAGCAAGAAATGTTCTGAAATTAGCAACCGTTTTAATAAATGTGATCCATAAAAAAAGAGTTCACTGAAGAAAAGTAGTATGTTTCAAAAGAGAAATGAACAAATGTATATGAAATTCTCATTGATTCTGGAAAACAAACTCTCTGGTGAAAGAATGTGTTGGACCATATTTTTCAAAATAATAAGTCTCCACAGAACTCTCATATAACCCTGCAGCCTACAGCATTGTGACAGCCCATGGAAGTTCAGTTTACAGTGCACGGTATATTTTCTGACCCTTTGACTCTTAGCCAGTGATAACCTGAAGTACAGAATGACATCATTGGCAGATAATGGCTCAGAAGTAGAATTCTCTGTGGTTGAGTAATATTTAGTTATAGTGAAAACACTTGAAAGCTGTGGTTCTCAACTGGGAGCTGTTTTTGCTTCCCACAGGATATTTGGCAATGACTGGAGACTTTTTTTTATTATCACAACCTAGGAAAGTAGGGAGGCAGGAGTATTACTTCTATGTGGTACATAAAGCCCAGAGATCCTACGAAGCATTCTACAAAGTGTATGACAGTCCCCTGCAAGAAAGAAATATCCAGTCCAAAATGCAAGTAGTGCTGAGGTTGGGAAAGTTTGCTCTAAAAGATATATCTTGAACATTTGAATTGAATTTTTGTACAATTTTTTTTATCAGAAGCATTGCTTGTTATGTATTTAACTTATAATATTTATTAATTAGCTGCCATTTGTTTAGGAAATATACTCAAAGTAATCTTTCTTAGGTATTTACTCAGTAACATACCAGCTTAGAATTGATGGCAATTGTTTTTTGGTACAGGGGGGACTTTACTGATGGTACAAGGCAAGGTGGGGCTCCCTAAGCCCCCACTCTTCAGGGGGTCTGCTTGAAAATTGTGAGGGGAGATTCTCAGTGTGGTGGGGGACTGAGTGCAATGGGGATTCCCCAGCAGTTGAGGGCCTCGCTCTTGCTCTTCTGCCCCCACTGAGGCTGGTGATCCCACTCCTTGGAGGAGTCTTACTCCTTGGAGGCCATGTGGGCCATGAGGCCCACCACCCTGTTGCTGTAGCCTAATTCATTGTCATGCCAGGAAATAGGCTTGACAAAGTGGTCATTGAGGGCAGTGCCAGCCCCAGCATGGAAAGTAGAGTAGTGGGTGTTGCTGTTAAAGTCAGAGGAGACAGCATGGTGCTTAGCGTAGCCCAGGATGACCTTGAAGGGGCCCTGCAATGCCTGCTTCACCACCTTCTTGATGTCATCATATCCGGCAGGTTTTTCTAAATGGCAGGTCAGGTCCATGACCAACACAGTGGCGGGGACATGAAAGGTCATGCCAGTGAGCTTCCCCTTCAGCTCAGAGATGACCTTGCCCTCAGCCTTGGCAGCACCAAAGATGCACAGATCATGTTCTGGAAAGCCCCACAGCTGTTGCACCACAGTTTCCCAGAGGAGCTATTCACAGTTTTCTCAGTGGAGTGGTGATGGCATGGACTGTGGGCGTGAGCCCTTCCACAATGGGTGACAAATATTTAAATGTTGGTTTTTAGGCAAACGTAGGTCATAATGCCAAGTATACTATAGTTACACTCACTCTTTCCCCATCTGGTACAGAGATTGATTTAAGGAAATAATAAATGAATAGAGAAAATGTCACTGACCAGCAGGACAAGCTAGCACCCCAGCACCTGAGTCTCAGGAAGGTACTCACAGGGGCTGTAGCCACAGGAGCCTACTAGAGTAAATGCCTTCTTCATTTTCTTTTTTTAAATTCTTACCAGCAGAAGCCACTTTATTTATTTTTATTGTGGTAAAAAACAAAAAACACAAATCCACTGTTTCAGCTATTTTATAGTATGCAATTGAATGGCATTAGTTTATTACAATATTGTACAACCATTACCATTGTCTAGTTCCATAACACGTTTGTCTCCCTCAATGGAAACTTCACATCCACTACTAAATACTTACTTCTCATTTCTCCCTTCCTTAACCCCTGCCAACCACTAATCTGCTGTCTGCTTCTGGGAGTTTGCCTCGTCTGAGTATTTCATATATATATGGAATCATAAAATATGTAACTATATCACATATTTTTTTCTTTTGAGATGGAGTTTCACGCTTGTCACCTAGGCTGGAGTGCAATGGCACAATCTCGACTAACTACAACCTCTGCCTCCTGGGTTCAAGCGATTCTCCTGCCTCAGCCTCCCAAGTAGCTGGAACTGCAGGAGTGCACCACCATGCCTGGCTAATTTTTTGTATTTTTAGTAGCGATGAGGTTTCACCACATTAGCCAGGCTAGTCTTGGACTCCTGACCTCAGGTGATCCTCCTACCTCAGCCTCCCAAAGTGCTGGGATTATAGGTGTGAGCCACCGTGCCTGGCCTCTACCACATTTATTATCTGTTCATCAACTGATGGACATTTAGATTTGTTCACTTTTGGCTATTATAAATAGTGCTGCTATGAAAATTTACATACAAGATTTTCTTAAACATCTGTTTTCAATTCTTTTGAATCTATATCTAGGAGTGGAATTGATGGGCAATATGGCAATTCCAAGTTTTACTTTTTGAGAAACTTCCAGACTGTTTTCCACAGTGGCTGCACTGGTTTACATACCCACCAGCAATGTATGAGGGTTCCAATCTCTCCACATCCTCACCAACACTTGTTATGTTTCATTTTTCGAATTCTTGCCATGCTGATAGATGTGAAATGGTACCTTAATGAGGTTTTGATTTGCATTTCCCAGAAGGCTAATAACCTTGAGCATCTTTTCATGTGCGTCTTGGCCATTTGTCCCTCCTTGAATTTTGTATCCTATCCGCTTCACTCACCTCACTCACCTCAACCTAATCCCAGGCCTGCTCTCCAGCACCTGACATGAATGCAAAGTCTTACAACCATGGTAGAGTGAAATGGTAGAGGCCGCTTCCTCTAAGTCATATAGTTATGGGTTCAGATAACACTTTTACCAAATATGTGTCCTTAGGCGAGTAATTTTCCCTCTTCTAAGCCTGTTTCCTCCTCTGTAAAATGAATGGGTACAGCAATTCATGGAGTAGTTAGAGGATTATAAAGCAGAGATAGTATTTTTTACAGTCGCTGGCATGTAGTAAATACTCGAGAGACATTAGCTATTATTTTGCTAATGGGGATTCACTAAACATTTGTTGAATGAGCGACTGGGCCAATGGACTGTTATGAAATCACCGAAAGGATCATTGTCAAAAAGCTCAACCTCCATGTACATTTTAATAATTTAACATCTGGGAGAGTGGATCTCATTCACCACAGGGTGTAATGTGTAGGTTGGTATAATGTGTATGTTGAATATAAGATGTAATTGCTGAAGCAAAAATGGAACCTATAAACCTGCTATCTACAGAGTTATGATTATGAATAGTTCATTCACAAAAACCGTGTGTCACTACGGAGACTCTCACTCCCAGCTGAAGGAAATAAGCTATTTGAAAATCTCTTCCCTATAGTCTTCCATGCCAACTCCCACTTTTGCAAACCCCAGCCCAGTTTTTATCACCTGGTCTCTGTCATCATTAAAATTATGGGGATAGCTATGAGACTCTAGCTGATGGAAAGCGAGAACAGGCAGAGAATGAAATCCCAGCTGCTTAATACTCTTACCACCTAAATCTCATCTGTATGCACAAATATGGTTGGTCACATACTAAGAGATAGAAGACCAGAATCCCTGGTCTTTGGGGGGCTTATAGCACAGTGAGAAGAGTCAGATGATAAATAGAAAATGGAATTCCTGATAGAAAATGGTAAAGCCAAAGAAAATGTGCAAGCAGTGAGTATTATTGGACTTTGCTGTATTTCCACAGTTCAACCAGACCCTCCTTTGAATGTGGTTGTGGAAGTAAAACAGCCAGAAGACAAAAAACCCTATCTGTGGATTAAATGGTCTCCACCTACCCTGATTGACTTAAAAACTGGTTGGTTCACGCTCCTATACGAAATTCAATTAAAACCCGAGAATGCAGAGGAATGGGAGGTGAGTGATCCATATGCTTTTTGAAGGAACCGTGGCCTTTGGCAAGGATAAAGCCCTCACAACTGAAAACAGGTTGTTCCTCCTAATCATTGGGTCACTGTGTTGGCCTCCAACGCAGTTATGACTTACCCAGATGTGAAAAGTTCTTCTCCCCTCTATTGGGATTGATGGGGGTTCATTTTCACAGCTCTTCTCAGGCTAGATTCTTGCACTACAAAGACATTTGACCAGGTTTTCAAACTGCCTCTGTTAATACATTTTAGATCTAGACCCTCATGAGAGTACTTAAATTGCACCAGATAGGAGGGGAGAATCTCAGTCATAGTCAATGGCTGTGTTTTTATTTACTTTAAAATACTTCAACGAGGCCAGGTGCAGTGGCTAACACCCATAATCCCAACACTTTGGGAGGCTAAGGCAGGTGGATCATCTGAGATCAGAAGTTCAAGACCAGCCTGGCCTACATGGGGAAACTCCATCCCTACTAAAAATACAAAAACTTAACTGGATGCCTGTAATTCCAGCTACTCGGGAGGCTGAGGCAGGAGAATTGCTTGAACTCAGGAGGTGGAGATTGCAGTGAGCCAAGATGGTGCCGTTGCACTCCTGCCTGAGCAACAAGAGTGAAACTTCGACTCAAAAAAAAAAAAAATGCTGTGCACAGTAGCTCATGCCTGTAATCTCAGCACTTTGGGAGGCTGAGGCAGGTGAATCACTTGAGGTCAGAAGTTTGAGCAGCCTGACCAACATGGCGAAAATCCATCTCTACCAAAAATACAAAAAATTAGCCAGGCACAGTGGTGGGTGCCTGTGATCCCAGCTACTCAGGAGGCTGAGGCAGGAGAATTGCTTGATCACAGAAGGTGGAGGTTTCAGTGAGCCAGGGTCCTGCCTGGGTGACAAGGCTGTCTCAAATAAATAAATACATAAAATAAAAATAAAATACTTCAGCCTAAAGAAATAAGTAAATTGCACGCAGTACAATATTCCACCTTTACATACTTTAGTATATGCCTCTTTAAAAAAGGTACATTTCTGAACATAGCCAAAATAATAGGATCACACATAAGAACATTAATTAAAATTCCTTAATATCATTTAATCGCCGGTCCCTAGTTTAATTCCTCCCAGTGTCTCCAAATATCTTTAACAGCTACTTTGTCCAAACCAGAATCCACTCATAGACCACACATTGTAACTGATTGTTATATCCCTTCAGTTTCAGTGCAATGGGAAGACTGGGCTACTTGTCCCATATGGTATCCCACCTTCTACATTTCTCTGATCAGTTCTTTGTCAGGTCATTGAGCTAATTTCTCTATGTCTCCATTTCCTGTAACCAGACTTGATTAGATGTCGGCTGAACAATTTTTGCCAAGAATTGGCAAATTCAGAGGTGATATTATGTACTCTATATTGTATTTAATCAGATGTCAAAAACTATCTGGTTGACCCATTGTAAGTGATGCTAAAACTGGTCCCTGAATTGGGGAGATGTCACACTGATCCCTTGATTGTAAAGTCATGTTTAATTTGTATGCTACTACTTTACCATACATGAATGCCCAATTCTCTTTCATCTCGTGTCTTTAACACCAATTTATTATTGAATAAGTTATTTCATTAAGGTTTAAAAGCTAACAGTTCTTTATATTAACTAGTTGTTTTTCATAAAGTGGGAGGAATGCAGAATATTTGACTTTTCTGAAGTAGAGTCCCAAATGGAAAGATAGAAAACCTGTTAAATTTTTGTGTGAGCAATTTTAAGAGGAGGAAGAGATAGGGCTAAGACAGTGGAGCAGTGACAGCTGGGAATTCTCTGCGTATGATTGTTCAGCCTAACTCCCCTGTAGTTTATGTTTTAGGGAAAAACTCTCTTTCTTCACAACAAATGTCAGAAGTGACTCTGTTTTCCTTATTCTACCTTAGACCCATTTTGCTGGGCAGCAAACAGAGTTTAAGATTCTCAGCCTACATCCAGGACAGAAATATCTTGTCCAGGTTCGCTGCAAGCCAGACCATGGATACTGGAGCTCATGGAGTCCAGAATACTCCATTCAGATACCTACTGGTGAGCATCTTGGCTCTTTTTTGCTTATGTCCCTAAATATGTTTTAAATGGTATATTTGCGTATAGTAACTACTAATAGAGAAACAACTTTGAGCCTTAGCCAGAATAGAAGAGGTGAGTTTATAAACTTTCTGCCCAATACACAGATTTTGAAGAGCAGCATTGCTCCCTGGATTACTGCCAGTGGAGAACAGTTTTAGGATAAGGCTATAGACACGGGCCTGGTGTCTCAAGGGGCTTGATGGTCAGTCATTCTGCGCTCACCATCTGCCCCATTTCTATCATTTAGAGGATTTGGTCAAGGTCATCATCTAGTCCTTCCAGAATTTATAAGGCATTACCCTGTCTCAAAGGCATGAACCGATGTTCAGTCTCTGCTATGGATTATACTTCAGTCTCTTAGTGAAGACATGGGATATAAAACAGACAGCTCCAGCAAAGCATCTTAATTCAGTAACTTGTGTTCTATAAGGGAACAATCCATCTTGCATTTTTAAAATGCCTTATAGTTTACAAAGGCTGTACCTTGTTTGGTCCTCCCAACCCTCCCAGGTATTCAGAGAATATGATTATTGTTAAGAATTAAAAGTGAAGAGGCTGGGCATGGTGGCTCACGCCTATAATCCCAGGACTTTGGAAGGCCAAGGCAGGTAGAGGTCAGGAGTTCAAGACCAGTCTGGCCAACATGGTGAAACCCCATCTCTACTAAAAATGCAGAAAAAATTAGCCAGGCGTGGTGGTGTGCACCTGTGATCCCAGCCACTTGGGAGGTGGAGGCAGAGAAATTGCTTGAACCAGGGAGTTGGAGGTTGCAGTAAGCTGAGATCGTGCCACTGTGCTCCAACTTGGGTGACTGAGCAGGACAGCCTGAAAAAGAAAAGAAAAGAAAAGTGAAGAAACCAAACCTCAGCAAAGTTAGGGTCTTTCCCAGAACCACATGGCAAAGTCTAGCTCTTCTAACAACTTGCCTGACCAAAGTGTTGGGCTTTCATTGCCTTGGCATACTGGAAAGGGCACTGAACTGCAAATCAGGCATGCTTCTAGTCCAGTCCTGCCTCTTACTTAACAAAAGCACAGGATCTAGAAGCAGAAAGCCTGAGGTCAAATCCCAGCCTGCAACACTATAGTTATATGGCTATTGGTAACTCACTCTTAGATTCTCAGTTTTCTTATCTTTTGTAACAAAGCAATGTAGGCAAAGAGCTTAACACCGTTGATGGCTTTTAGTAAGAACTTAATTAATGTTAGCTTTTGTTATTATTACTACAAATGACCATGTGACCTTGGATTTCCTCTTTAAGGATCAATTAAAAGAATATGTGAAGGGATTTTTAAATTTGTAGAGTACTATAAAATTTATGCAACATATTAATATATTAATAATATTGGAAAGAAAATAGGCCTGTCATTGATGCTACTTTGGATTGCTGTTCAAATCAAAATATACATAGATGGAGGAAAACACTCTTGTGTTTAAGAGTTTCATTCATTAGGTTTGTTTGTTTTTAATGATGCTGTATGTGATCAAAGCTTTCTGACTGTTTGTTTTTTAGAGTTCACCATGAAAGATACAACCGTGTGGATCTCTGTGGCTGTTCTTTCTGCTGTCATCTGTTTGATTATTGTCTGGGCAGTGGCTTTGAAGGGCTATAGGTACTTCACTGTCTCTGAACTTCTTCTCTGCATCATGATAGTCAGGGATAATGGCAAAAAGAATAACACAAAGATGATAGAAACCTATAGATAATCCAAGCACCTCATTTTAGCCATCAGATGTAATGTTTTTGCCCATAAAAAAAATCTTTTATCAATGTTAGAAAAAGTAGAAAAAACATTTCAGGCTTATGTTCTTTCTATGAAACAGAGATTGATAGTTGTAAAACCATAAAAATCTGGCAAGAGTAGCTAAAATCAAAAGCAGCAAATAGTCCAAATAATCCACTAACTTCAAAATCAGCCTCCTTAATTAGCTAGGGCTAATTTTAATATAGGACTCTGTAATTTTATTTTCATCATTGATTGTTTCATGTAGCTGTCAAACTCTAAGTCCTATCTCTACCACAGTGCATATAGCAGCTATATACTAATCTTTTAAAAATTACAGTCAGAAATGAGTCATTTAGCCAATCTCATGAATTATTTTATAGCATGGTGACCTGCATCTTTCCGCCAGTTCCTGGGCCAAAAATAAAAGGATTTGATGCTCATCTGCTGGAGGTAAGGACAAGAGGCGAAAACTCCAGTGTGACTCACTGCTTTGCAATAACACTCTACACACGCACACACAGTCCCCATCAGTTCAGCCTGGTGGTTTCAGCCAGCCTTTTCAGGCTGTCTCTCCTGGTCGGCATGTGTGTTAACAAAAGATGTGTGAAGAATGAGGGTACTTACTTTCACACACTAAATGTCAGAGAGCAAGGAGAGAAAGTCAAGAAAACATGGAAACACATAGCAATGCTTGCTTGATTTATCAGGTTGACTCATAAGCATTAGAGAAAAACATGTTGTATAAATCATCAATTTAGAAAGAGGGTGAATATTTTGATTAATGCAAAACAAGGACCACCCCTCTCCCCCCACTGATCATACATGGTAAAAGCTTCTACTTGAATGTTCTTTATGTAAAGCCATAGTAACAGAATATCCTATTGCCATGATCTCTCACTTTGGGTACTCAGTTGAGATCAGATCAATACAGTGGGGCCATCTGTTTGCCAGGGCCCGTTTAGGCTGATGAAAGAGGGAATTAAATGGTGAGTATTTTGAATGAAAAGAGGGGTTAGAACATTTTAAATTTTTTCTCCAGGTTGAAATATATCGTTTCAGTTTGGCTTTTAAGCTTAACAATGATGTATATAAAAGCAACTAGCTGTACTTTAAAGCAAATACCACTTGACCCAGCTGCTCTGGGTCTGACAGGGTAAAAATAGAAGTGACTCCCAAATAATATGGCTTGTCTGTGTTCACTTTGGTTGCAAATATCGGAGCAGGGACTAGAGCCCAGGCGTCCGGGTTCCTGATCCAGTGATCCTCCTCCACTATCCAGAGTAGCATTGACCTGATAGAACCAGCATGAATACCTCAACAAACTAAATTAGCTGCTGTCCAGCCCACAGTATAACATGCTAGCCACAGAGACTTAATGATAAAATAGTGACTTTTGTCTCAAAAATATATATATTAGTATTCTTAATAATATTACCTCTAATCCTCAAAAGATCCCTCCCAGATGGGTAGTATTAATATTACTTTCTACCTTTTAAAAATGGAGAGGCTGAGGTTCAGAGAACAGCTTGTCCAAAGTCACATACCCTACAATAAGTAATAAAGCCAAGACCTAGGTCAGTACCTGACCCAAGCCAGATGATAAGAAAAAAGAGGGGCGAGTGAAAGGAGGAGGTGGGAGGATACAGGAGGGGGAGAAGAAGGATAGAAGGAGAAAGAAGAATAAGAAGAGATGGGAGAAAATATGGAATAGGGAGATAAAGGGGGAGAATAGAAGGAGGGAGAGGAAGAAGAGTAGAAGAAAACAGTGGTTTAGGAAAAGGAGAAGGGAAGGGGAAATAAGATGGAGAGAAGGAGGAGGAACCACAGAAGGAAAAGACAAGAATCCACTTACTATTGCCAGATAATAGAATATCATGGAGGAAGTTAGGAGGCCAGAAACCGCACCTCTGCCAGTGGGCTGCAGTGTCAGATGCATCTGTGAGCACTGGGTTTAGAAGTTTCACAAACCTTTATTTTATAGCTATCTGTTTATTATTATATGTGTATATACTACTTGCCCACTAAACTCATTATTATTATTGCTTGGAGAGAGACTAAGTTAAATATCCTGAGTTGACTTAAAGAAAACTATCTGCTGAATAATATCCAGAAGGTGATTCTAGATGGCCTGGCACACAAATGTCTGAAGTTTGAGATCTTCCCACCTGCTTGTGGCAATGAACAGATACCACTTACCAGGGATGCTGATTTCAAATGTTCTGAAGCTAACAGCCAAATCTTCTTGTGCCTGTGTTTTCATAGAAGGGCAAGTCTGAAGAACTACTAAGCGCCCTGGGATGCCAAGACTTTCCTCCCACTTCTGACTATGAGGACTTGCTGGTGGAGTATTTAGAAGTAGATGACAGTGAGAATCAGCATCTAATGTCAGTCCATTCGAAAGAACACCCAAGTCAAGGTATGAAACCCACACACCTGGATCCTGACACTGACTCAGGCCGGGGGAGCTGTGACAGCCCCTCCCTTTTGTCTGAAAAGTGTGAGGAACCCCGGGCCAGTCCCTCCACATTCTGTGCTCCTGAGGTCATTGAGAAGCCAGATAATCCTGAAACAACCCACACCTGGGACTCCCAGTGCAGAAGCATGGAAGGCAAAACCCCCTACTTTCATGCTGGTGGATCCAAATGTTCAACATGGCCCTTACCACAGCCCAGCCAACACAACCCCAGATCCTCTTACCACAACATTGCTGATGTGTGTGAGCTGGCCGTGGGCCCCGCAGGTGCACCAGCCACTCTGTTGGACAAAGCAGGCAAAGATGCTTTAAAGTCCTCTCAAATCAGTAAGCCCAGAGAGGAGGGAAAGGCAGCCCAGCAGAGGGAGGTAGAAAGTTTCCATTCTAAGACTGACAAAGACACGCACTGGATGCTGCCCCAGGAGAAAACCTCCTTTGGCTCCACTAAACCCTTGGATTATGTGGAGATTCACAAGATCAACAAAGATGGCGCACTATCATTGCTACCAAAACGGGGAAATAACACCAGCCAGCCTGAGAAGCCCAGGGATCCTGAGAACAGTAAGGAGTATGCCAAGGTGTCCAGGGTCACGGATAACAACATCCTGGTGTTGGTGCCGGATCCGCACACTAAAAACGTGGCCTGCTTTGAAGAATCAGCCAAAGAGGCCCCACCACCACTTGAACAGAATCAAGCTGAGAAAGGCCTGGCCGACTTCACCGAGACACCAAGCAACTGCAGGCTCCAGCTGGGTGGTTTGGATTACCTGGATCCCGCATGTTTTACACACTCCTTTCATTGATAGCTTGACTAATGGAATGATTGGTTAAAATGTGATTTTTCTTCAGGTAACACTACAGAGTACACGAAACGCTCAAGAATGTAATCGGACTGACACTGCTAAAGCTCCCAGCTCCTTTCGTGCTCCATTTTCAAACACTTGCCTCTTTCTGCAACAGCTGATTCTAGAACAAATCATTCTGTTTCTTAAATGTGATTTGTAGATTTTCTCTTTGCTATTAGTTATAAAATTGTGTTTGATGAAATAAAAGCACACTGCTTAGTATTCTTGAGGGACAATGCCAATGGGTATATCCTCTGGAAAAGGCTTTCATGATTTGGCATGGGACAGATGGAAATGAAATTGTCAAAATTGTTTACTATAGAAAGATGACAAATAGGTGGAAAATGCCTTGAAAATTGCTTTTAAAAAAACAATTATATAACCTTTACACTCCTCTTCCATTTTATTAGGATTATCCAAATATAACCATATAAAGAAAGAATACATTCCAGAAAGAATTGTTTACATCAGTTCCTATACCTTACTGACACATTGCTGACATGCGAGTCAGAAACAATGCCTCCAGTTTTTTCTTAAAATAGTTTAAATATGTTAGGCATGGATTTTCTTCCCCTGAATTCTATTTTATTCTAAAGCCTCTTTAGAATATGGTTTGGAAATTAAAATTTTCTTACACAAGGGGCAAATGAATTTCATGTGAATCCTTTTAGGATGTTTTCCTGCTTCATTTCAGCATGACAGATAATTTATTATACACCCTAGTCTTTTCTTAGTGAAAAAAAAATCCCTAAATACTAACTTTAAAAGAAAACCACAGCAGGATGTTAATGTAATTACTGCCTTACTGTACATACAAATTCTACTTTAATATAAACCTATAAGTTTAACAATGTATTTTTGAAGACTATTTTTCTATCACTTAGGTAAAATAAAAGACTATTTTCTATTTTCCCAGTACAGCTGTTTATGTATTCAGTGGGTACAGTATTTTTCTGCTCCAAGGTTATAATGTGTATTTACACTACATAGTAGTATATGCATTTCCTCTTTGTGGCGTAAAATGCCATACCAACCTAAAGCCCACTGTGAAATATAAAGTGAATGACAAAATTCCGTTTTCAACACAATATAGTATAGTTTACCTGATTGTTTTAATCTCCAGGACGCTTTAAGCAACAACTACCAACAACAACCACCTAGGGATTTAGAATTCTTCACAGACCAGAAATTATTTCTCCTTTGAGTTTAAGGCTCCTTTGGGACTCCTGCTCATCAATGGCTGAATCTTCCTAAAGCTACCATAAAAAGGGAGACTGATGATTTCTAACAGCTGTTTGAAAGAGAGAGGCTTTGTTTTTGTGAGAAATCTTGGACAGCAAAATAATATTTTTAAGCAAAGCCAGGAGTCAGTGTCTCTCTGAAGTAAATTCATCTGCAAAATCTTGGCAGACGCAGACACAGAGCTCACATCAGAAGTGTCCAAATAAAAGTTCTAGGAAACTAGGTATTTGTAGAGCAATGGGCACAGTTCCAAAGGTCAGAGCACGGTAGTGAGATTTCCTAGTCAGTTCCAATGCCAGGCTTCCTGAAAGAAGTCAAAGCTTGGATTTTCATTTTAAAGGACGCATCCATGACTCATCTAACACCCTCCCTCTGTTTTTCCCTTCACTTGATGGCAAATCTGTTCTATATGTCCACTTACCAGCTGGACATAGAGAACTTGATCTCACCTCTGGGATTTAAATATTCCACCCCAACTCGCCCAGATTGATAGCAACTGGACTCAGAGGTCCCCCTCCTGTTAGAAAGTGAACACGTTGCCAGCGTTTTGGGAACGGCAAAAGCAATAGACATGAAGCTCTATTTTCCTAATATATAAACAATATCATGTGAGTAAGGGAAGCATGTGGGAAAGTTGTCCAAGCTCATTCAGTCCCCCAGATCCTCAATACTTACATTGTCTGAGAACCAACTGCATAGGCATCACCTGGGCAGTGTTTGAAAATTCCATTTGTAGAATCTTAGGCCCTACCTCTAACCTAAATAATCAGAATCTGCATTTTACTAAGATCCCCAAATGATTCAAGTGCACACTGAAGTTTGAGAATCACTGTTCTAGATAACCATTTCCACCAAAGGTTGTTTTAGTGCATAGAAACAATCCTCTTTTGGAAAAGACAGATCAAGTCTGTTTGACTTGCAGTGAACAACACTGCATGTACGACAGCAAAAAAAAAGAAACATATCAATGATTTAAGATTCACGTTATGCTGAATCTTCTGTGAATTCACATAAAAGAATGACATGCAAAAGTACACATATGTTCTGAAAGACCAAGGAACATATTCTACCTTGAGAAGCATTGACCAAAGACGGTTACCCTCAAAGCCAATGCAGACTAAATCTTTCCTAACATAGTATATTCTTCTCTAAGAATATAGAAGATATATGTCAGTCACTCTTATAGTTTGAAAACCTAAACATAAAAGTAGTCTGCTTTTGACATATAATTTTGTATAATACATATGAACAAATGTTACAGCTAAGGAATTAAATCCCTAAAAAATACCAATTAGCCGCTCATTAAGTCAAAACTTTAATTCTGTGATCAATTAGCAAGCTATATGAATTAAGGTTTTTTGTGGTCTAACAAGAACTTTTTCTGTGATCTATCAAGGAGATAGCTGTTCACATGGAAGGATACATATGGGGCAGGGGATGATCAAGAGACCTAGATTCTGATCCTAACTGCTTTGCCTTGGAGAGGTTAATTCCGCTCTCTAAGCCTGTTTCCTCTGAAGATGTTGGACCAAATAATCGCTAAGGTCCTTTGTAACTGACTCCTTGATTCCATAACTCACTGAATGTTTTTCTGCAAAGATAATTCCAACCAATGCCTTCTAACTTAATTAAGCTAACAAAAAATTGCTCTTCATCACAGAAATACAAAGTAATCTTCAGCGATGTGCTCTTTATACTTTGCTTTCTAAATCATCACTTCCACTTGGTCTTAATATATTGCACTGCATTTTATAAGTGATACGTGTGCGGAATCATATTCAAATATTATGTGCAAATATATGTGTAGAAAGAAGAGGCATTTTAAAAAGGCATGAGATTGAAAAGAGACATATTGAATGAGGCACTAATCTTTAGGAAAATGATCTTTTACTGAATCAAGTCATGCTCATTCCTTGCTGAATCCAAAAGCCCCAAATTCCTTTTCTTATATCTAGCTGTTAATTATTTTTCTCTCATCATCCGAGATTAACCACCATTGCACAGTTGGCTTAAGGATCCTTACACTCTGAGTTATAAAAAGTTGCATTTTTATAAACAAAAACGTAAATAATCAAGTTTTAAGGCACATGGAAACTGAATCTAGTCAGTGGGTGATTTGTGTAGCTTACAACCCAAATAGCAAAATGTTCCAATTCATTCTAAAAGATATGTATAAGCACAAGTTAGTATCAGCCATGCCAGATATTAACAGACCCTACATTTATTAGCTGTTTTAACAGACTCTACATTTTCCTAAGTGCCTAAAACCAATCCTGGTAGTCACTTAAGTGCAAAAGGCTCATTTTAACTGGCTTGGTCCAAAGGAGTCAATCCTTTACTGCCTGTACAAGATCTGGACAGTTTTGCTCTTTGTCTTGTGATGTGCCAGCTGAATGTGAAAAGCCTGTGAGTGATTGAGCAACCAGGGGCCCCTGCATTCCAAGGAGCAGTTTGGCTCTGGGGAAACTCTGACTTTGTCTTTCCTGAAGTGTCCACCACTGCCCATCATTTGCAGAAAGACTTGGCCCTGCCTTTAGCAACTTCCCTATCTCCTTAGAGTAGACAAGAAAGAAACAGATTTGTGCACATTTTACAAAGTGCCTTCCTCTAGTTTTTTTTTTTTTAAGTTTTCATTTTGCAAGGAAAAATGTGTTGATTAGAAAGTAGCATTTGCCTTTATAGGGATATATAAAGAGAGAGATAGATATACAGATATATGAATGAATGGAGAGATGAGGAGAAGCCAGAAAGGGCACAACAAAATGGTCTAAGGGCCAACCAGCAACTGTTCAGTGAATGTTTATGTTTTTTTTAATTGAATCAACACAGAGCTATTGTGAATGTGTGACTTACTTTGCCTGATAAGAAATTGAGTCTGACTGTGATTTTGGGATAAACCTGCCACCCTGTGATTTAAGACTCTCCATACTAAAACATACTGATACATTTTTGAATGTCATTGGCTCACATGCCTAAACCTGAAGAGAACAATGCCTGCACATTGGAACTTTGCACATAGATGGAAAAATATAAATAACTTTGAATTACCATCACAAGTGTTGCTAACATAGATGTGCCATTGACGAAAGTCTCACGTGTACTTGAGTGAACAAATTTCGTTTTCTACCTTTTCGTCTCAAGCACAATAATGCTGCCACTAAGACAGTGACTGAGCACTCGATGTCCAAGACTAAATCGCATCACCACCACTAAGCAGATGTAAGTCCCTGGATGAGTCTTTTAAACTCTGGCCATTAGGTTCCTTACTTGTTAAATAGGTGGGTTGGCCTAAAAGGTTTCTAAGACCTCTGTCAGTTCTGTCTTTGATTCTCATTATCTAGGTAAAATCCAGGGTTTCAGGTCAAAGTCCTAGGTGCAGTGGAAGAAAGACTTGCTGACATGCCCTTGGCCTGAAGCCATGAACACGTGAGACTGTGTAACAATATTTAACAGAAAAACAGAGATCTGTTCCTCCAAGTCAGATTGATATAACATCTTTGCTTTTCCTTTTTCTTCCAAGCTTTACATATTTGTAGGGTTTTTACTCCTTCTCCAGAGCCTACTATTTTTCCTCAGAGTAGCAACCATAGAATCCACAAGAAAAGAAATTATTCATAAGCAATGACTTTGGCACTACGAAAGACTGAGTCAGAGTTTAAATCAGTTCCACAGATCTCCAAGCCCAAGTTGAGGATCATAAGTATACCCCATTTAAAGATTTGCATGCTTAGAGACTAAGCCCATGTTCATTAATTATTTAGTTAATTCAAAGGCCATTTATAAATCCATGCCCAGCCTGAGCAACATAGTAAGACCCAGTCTTTACAAAAATTTTTAAAATTCCAGCCATAGTGACCATACCTGTGGTCCTAGCCACTTGGGAAGCTGAGGCCAGAGGATTGCTTGAGCCCAGGAGGTTGAGGCTGCAGTGAACCGTGATTGTGTCACTGCACTTCAGCCTTAAAGAGCAAGACCTTGTCTCAATAAATAAATAAATCTAAGCTATGTTGATGACTAGATACTGGAGGTCTTAAGGAAAAGCTTTAAAAATACAGAGTGATTGCTTCAGAGAAATCCTATTTATAATTATGATCTGAACTTATTCTATGATTAGCAAATGTATCATACAAAAATACAACAGGAGTTCTCACCCCAGACTTTTATTTTGCAGGATGGTGACTTTTGGTCTGGCAACCTCATGACACCCATTTCAATAAAAGGAAAAGGACAATAAAATAGGAGATAGGAAGTTTCCAGAGATTTGGGCATCTCAGGATTCCATGAAATGCTGAGACTAACCCACTAAATCCAATTTTTATTGGACATGGTAAATCTAAATCTGTTCAGTGTTTTGAGTTTATGTCTAAGAGAGGTACATAATTCACAACACTATAATGCTGGCGGCTGTTTTGTCCACACCAATTCCTTTGATTTAACGCTCTGATTTCAATTTAGAAAATATTGAGACATGCAAAGTCTCAAAATAGGAAAAACCTATTCTGTTTATAAGATGTGGTCAATAAATAGACCACAGATAATCTTAATTAACATTCTACTTGCTGCCGATTAAAAAGAAAAAAACTTCAGCAACTGAAGTAGGAATATAAAAAACAAACTTTAATAGTTATGGTCAAATTATGCTTCACTTGGATAAAACTCAAAATGTAGTCTGAGGTTTTTTGGTGCACATTTTGCAAATCCTGGGGGAAACATCTTTTTATCATATTATCTGAAAAACTGTATGGCAAAGATACCTCTGAAAAACAATTTGTTTTATAAAATTCCTGAAAAGACAATTTTGAATTTTTAAAATTAACTACTTCCCCTTTGTGTCCTAATGTCCTTCCTTCAAAGCTGCTTATAGTTTAGAAATGAAAGGTGTCATGTCTCATGCTTTGATTGCTTTTCAGTGGCATGTTTGATATGTTTGCCAAGTGGCATTTCTGACTTTACAGTAACTGTTACATTATTTTGTACTATATTGCTTTATGTGGTTCGAAAATAGTTTACACCACATTGAAATATGTAATCCTCATGTTGTGAAACTCATCATGTAATACAAATGAAAATCATTACTTAATAACTTACAATCTATTCGTATGTAATTTCAATATGATTGTATCTATGACTGTAAAACAAACTGAAAAAATATGTAATATATTTCTGTTGAAACCGTGAATGTACTAATTTTTTTCTCAATCTTTGTCTAGAAGCAGGATTCTATGTCATTCATTGTACAGCTGCTCTGGGGTCACTGTTATAATTAAATTGCTGGGGTTGTTTTTGTTTTGGCTTTTTTACACCTTCTAAGTCACCATTTTGCAGGCTTATGCAAGTTTCTGAATAACCATTCTTACATTTTTACATTTTATAAAAACTGGCTGCAAGAGGCTGCGCAAGCATGTGTAGTAAGTCATCAGATGAAAAACCCACAGAACAGTAGGCTGCAGGTTTTTTCCTAACTGTAAGTTACCTTCTAGTTGTCCAAAGCCATGATAATGACGTCTCTTACAAATTGACTTCTGTAACCCCCCTAGAAATAACTCTCTTCCTTATTTGATTTTAGCCATCGAACATAGTATGATATGGGAAAAGTCAGCCATTTACCAGGAATAATCTTGTTTTGATTTTAAAAACTCATTTATATAGGTAATTATTGTAATGTCTATTTTTTAGACTTAATTATAGAAGATTATAGTCATCTGATTTGTTATTTTGCATTTTTCATTCTGTAAATCTTTGCTTATGGCACATTGTGCTCTCTGTTTTCCATGGTCTTATTCATTTGTCTCCTTCTATTCTGAGGGAACAACATGAGTAGTTAAATCTTTGTCAATAGTATGGGATATAACGCTAGTGTTATTATCGTAACATCTTCATTTTTACTGCATGCCAAAAACACTGCTTGCCAAACAAAAATCTTAGACATCCCAATACAATATGTTCATTATATTCCTATTCACATAATTATTGAAAATACCCAGCTCAGTGCCTGGCTCAATAAATGTTTAATTCCCTTACCTACACTTGCTCTATTTTTTTATTTGAAATGGAGATGAGCAAAATAATGTAAGCATGGCCGAAGCAATTTTTTGGACATTTCTTGCTGCTAAAAGATCTATAATCAGGACATTGTTTATGTAAGGTGGACAAAAAAAATTCTTCCTCTTTATGTCCACCCTTCCATATGATTGCAAGACAAAATTTCCCTCCTTTACCTCATCCCTGTAACGTGGGAGGCTGAGAAAAATGAGGGGAGATGGAACCAGATACAAGGAGATTCAATAAGAGAAGCTTATTTAAATATTGTGAAATAAAGAAAGAGCCAAACCATTTTTTAAAGTGGGGAATCCTTTTGAACAGTTATTATTTATCCATATTATTAAGGCCTTTTCTGACAAAATTCTTCAGATGAAGTGTAAATGGATAATCTTTTACTTTTAATGGATCTAGACCTAGAAAATTTTGCTTACTGTTCATGTTTGTACTGCAGAATTGTGAAATGGTGTGTGGTTTTGCTTTACAAGTTCTTCTCTGCTTCCTCTTAATTCTCTAATGCCATGTCTTACAGAATAATGAGAAATTTCTTTCTTACCTGAGTGTCACGCTCTAAAAAACTTGGCTTCAGTCAAAGAAATGCTAGCTTTCCTGTGCTTATATTGAAGCCATCTGCCTTGAATTCTTGGGCCCTCTTATATTTTTAAGGTACAAAATTTGAAATCTTAGTCACTAGTCACAAGATGCATACAATTAATGATGAGCTGGAGGAGTCATATGTAGCTAATTTTTCAAAAGTATTGAATGTACTTTCCCAACAGAAAACAGAAATTAAATATTGCCACATTTTGCCGGAATCCCATCTGAAACCTTAACCTTGTCAGATTTCCTACAACTTACTAATCAAGTTTTATACATTCTAATCTCCCCAGTTTTGGGGGGTCTGGAAGATGCAACTTCCATTTCCATAGAAATTTGCATATCTTGGGGTAAGGGAGCAGTGGGGGTACTAGGGAGAAGGGTAAAATATAGGATTATTGAAAAGTCCCCAAGAGGGATCTTCCTGACCAGAATATGCAGATAATTCCTGCTGGCTTTAACCTTTGAAAGTCCCTTGAAACCATCCAGATGAAACTGAGCCTGTTTTTTGATATTGTCAGATGTATTCTACTTTGAAGTTTCCAGCACCTAAACTGGAATTCTTTTATTTACACCCCCTCCACCGTCCCCCACACCACCCCTCAATTCCTGCTGCCCCTGCTAATGTTAAGCATTTTTCTCTTGTTATGATCAGGTTCACATTAAAACAGATACTTACAAACTGATTTGAAGCACAGATACTTTTATGAATGTGATAAAATATTTTCTTGAGAAAAGGAAAGAGGACGTCAAATAAAACACCGTGTGGATGTTGATTGGTGAACATTGGTGTAAGAAAAAGGAGCTCAGGAATTTTTATTACTGTATTTATAAACGAATTTGAAAGAATTTGTAAATGCCACTGGTACATTTTTAAGGTGACACATTTGCTCCTTATAACGTTATTAAAAATTACAGGGTAAGCTTAAATGATGTTTGCCAGTAGTTTTACTTTACATAATCAATATTGATATTGTTGCTGAACTATGTGACTTTATGATGCATTTTTCAGTCCCTTTTCAGAGAAAATGCTTTTGCAATGGTAGCAATGTTTAGTTTAAATTGACTTAATAAATTATTACCTGAGCAATGATTTTTGGAGGGTCTTTATATATGTATGTGAAACATGCATTACATGAAAAATGTAACATGAGACAAGTTTTTTTTCTTTGCCACAATGAAACCCATCAGAATCTATTTTTTATTTTTTTTTTATTTTTATTTTTTTGAGACGGAGCTTTGCTCTTGTTATCCAGGCTGGAGTGCAATGGCACGATCTCGGCTCACCGCAACCTCCGCCTCCTGGATTCAGGCAATTCTCCTGCCTCAGCCTCCTGAGTAGCTGGGATTACAGGCACGCGCCACCAGGCCCAGCTGATTTTTTGTATTTTTAGTAGAGACGGGGTTTCACCATGTTGACCAGGATGGTCTCGATCTCTTGACCTCGTGATCCACCCGCCTCGGCCTCCCAAAGTGCTGGGATTACAGGCGTGAGCCACCGCGCCCGGCCAGAATCTATTTTTTAAAAGAAGGTGAGGAAACTGCATTTTAACTCTGTAAATATAGTATGCAGACACATGCTGAAACATTTATCTTAGGACACTCATCCATAGCATTTTTTTTCAGGCACAAATTTCTGTGCTCATCTTTGAACACCTCTGATTTTATTTTCCTACTTATTCTAAATCAAAATGGAACACACATTCCCCCAGGCTTTATTCATCTGCCAGACTTGAGCCTTGAAAATGCAAGCATGCTTGGAAGCACTCAGAAGTTTCTTGGAACTTCTCCTGGGAACAACCAAGAACAATCTAAAGGAGAGTTTCCAAACCTGAGATTCAATCAACTTTCCCAAGTTTCCAAACCTGAGATATGATCAACTTTCATTTAACAAGCCACAAATCTCAGGGCCAAAGGTTCATAGTTTCTTTTGATCTTGTTTTCCTGCCTCAAATTATCCAATATCTTTGCTTAAAACCAGCTGTGATTTCATCATCTGTTTGTGATCTTTTTATTGCATAAAATATTTCACAAGTACTTGAAAAATATATAGAAAAACATAACAAAGATCATTTACCCACATCCAAATCTTACCAATTTTCATATTTTGGCTTGTCCTTTTTTTAATTTAACACAGATTCATTTAACATTACAAATACCATCATTTACATCCCTCAACAGCCAAATTAGCTCTCTTCAACGGTAACCACAATCCTAAAGTTATTATATATCCTTCCCTGCTATTTTTACAATGCATTTATCTCATATCTATCTATTCCTAAATAATATGAGCAATTACTTTGGTATTTATGAGTTTGCATTAAAAATAGCAGATATCATTATGCACTTCGATTATTTTTCAGTCAGCTTTGGGTTTTTGAGATACAAATAGCTCCAGCTGCTCTGCTGTATACATCTATACAATCTACTAAGCTCCTATTTATCAACATTTAATTTTCACTGCTTTATGTATACAACTGCTGTAGTTGTATACTTAAAATGTATTAGTCTCCCTATTTATCAACATTTAACTTTCATTGCCATAAATGACAAAAGTTGTGTGTATACCACTGTTATAGTTGTACACATATATACAATTTATGAATCTCCCTATTTAGCAACATTTTATTTTCACTGTCATAAATGACGATGCAATGAGCATTCTTATGCCAGTCCCATCGGAATATGTGCAAAAGTTTCTCCAAAATATACACCTAGAGGTATTTATGGTTGGGTCATATAAAATACATATCTTAACATTTCCTAGATTCTGACAAATTGCTTCCTCTCTAAAGTAGTTTTACTGATGTGTACCCTTGCCATCAGTATAGTGGTTTCCATTTCTCTTCATCTTCATTATTACCTGATGCTTTCAGATGTTTTAATTTTTGACAATTCAGTGAGCATAAAATGAGGTTGTTATTTTCCTTTTTATTTCCCTCATGAACCCATTTGTATCTGAGTAACTCAGGCTTTTCCTGCTTATCTTTTATGCCATCTTTGTCATCTTCTGAGTGTCTACATATACCCAAATCTTAGTCCAGGCTTCTCTAGCCCATTTTCCTGTGTATCTCTTCCTGCCCTGGCACTCCTCTGTTTTATTACCATATTTTACACAATGTCTTGTCATCTGGTAAGTTAATTCCCACACCACCATACCCTTCCTCAAAATTGTGCTGGCTATTCTTGGCCATTTACTCATCATATGAATTATGAGTGAGCCGATCGAGTCTCCTAAGGAAATTATGTTGGGAACTAGATTGAATTTATGTTTTAATGCCAGGAGAAGATACACCTTTATAATATTGTGCCTTCCTAATTATGAACTTGGTATATCAATTCCTTCACATTGGGCTTCAATAAAACTTTACATTATTCTTCATAAATATTTGCAGATGTTTTATTAGATTCATCCCTAGGCACCCTCTCATTGCAACTTCCACCTCCCGGGTTCAAGTGATTCTCTTGCCTCAGCCTCCCGAGTAGCTAGGATTACAGGACTGTGCCACCACACCCAGCTAATTTTTGCATTTTTAGTAGAGA